GACAGAGTTCTCGTCTTTGTTCGATTACATCTCACGGAAGACGGGAAGGGTCGCGTCTTCCTCTCCACAGAAGACGGGAAGGGGTTGCATGCTCGTTTCCTCCTTCGTCTTCCTTCTCGACTGTACCGAGTTTTGGTCTCTTCGGTTCCTGACCTGCCCTCTAACTGACTTGGCGGGGTTTCTAAGCTGTGATGGAGCTTCCTTCTTCTTTAGTTGAAGCTGACAAAACATCCTTTGCTCACGTAGTGGGTAATCCTCAGGTGGAAACGGTGGTTGTCTTCACGTCAAATTATAAGGAATATCGTGATGGTACAGGTGACTGACCATTTGTTAAGAATGTAAGCAGTAAAAATGAGAAAACAACATTTTTTTCTCAGAGTTAGAAATTTCAACCCTGACTGACAAATTCAAGTTTGCTCTTTTTAGAAAATTTTAGTGAGAGCGCCTATCTATGGAAGTTATCAGGAAAAGTTTTGATGATCTCAAATTAGCTGGAAAGTGAAAAATGAGGCTCATAGATGGGAGACATGTATTGATTTAATTAACCGTGGCAGAAGACTACGCCCATATTTTTTCCAAAAAATATTTCAGCATTGTTGGTAAATCAATGAACCTACTCAAGTGGTCTCCTGATTTTGACCATAATCATAAACCTCCTACTGTACCGGTATGGTTCAATCTATCAGGTCTCAAGCTGTACTTTTTCATCATCAGGTTATTTACTCTATTGAGGTCATACTTGAGGACCTTATGAAGCTAAATCTACCCACTTTCAACCTAACCAGACATTCTGTGGCCAGAATACTTGTGGAAAAAGATATTACTTTACCTGATATTGCTGAAGTCTGGTTGGGTACAACTCATAATGGATATTAGCAATAAATCATCATGGAGCATAGACCTCCTTATTATTCTCATTGTAGGATGTTTGGGTATATCCTTGATAAATGTCATAAGCTTCATCCTAATTTGAAATCTAAAGATCAAGTGAAAAAGGATGAATTTAACCTCACTGCTCTGGACATATCTATTCCACCTGGAGAGAAAACTACCACGGGATATGATTTGATGTTTAATTTAATTACCCCTGTAGATTCTCCCTTTGAAAATACTGTTTCTGTGATTGATGAGAAGTTGGATGGCCCTACGGACAAAAACCTTATTGAAAACAGTACTGGAGGACTCTTCACTGTTATTGAAGAATATTCACTTATATGCCAAGACACACGAGAGTGTTTATTTGATTCAATCAAAGGTCAGCTGGTACAACAAGTGGTTACTTATAATGTTCAACATTCTATACATGTCCGACAAACTTTAGACCAATCTACTGATCAGGCAAGTCAATCTTCAGATGAAGAATGACAGGTCTATTCCAGGAGGAAGAAGAAGACTGGAGACCGACTCGAGCTTGGAAACTTATTGGATGATACTTTGGTCACTACTGCAATGACACTCATCTTACTAATTTATTAGCTGACTCCTTTCCTAGAACTAGAGGCAGAGGCAAAGGAAAATTGGGTCGCTCTCTAGCTACCTGATACTACGTTTTTTTTTTTTGCATTTTTTTTTTTAATTAGGTCTCTTGTATTTCTCTATATTTTCTCTTTTTTTTTGAATATTTTGTATGTGATGGTTATCGTGGGGGAAGGGTGTCATACTTGGACCCTTCCGCATAATCTATATGTATCATTATTTCCTTTTAATAATATATATATATA